ACTCAACCTAACCCAAACAGGGAACACGTTTCCTGGGATGAGAATGTGTTAGAGGCAGCATAGCATGTCCTAACTCCCCCGTGTAATCATGGCTGTATCATGTGTTGCAAGTAAATTATCTATTTTGTAAGTTAGGCCAAAGTGTGCTCCTTCAACTAACTGTGAAAGCATTCTTGAAAGCCCATGAAACCTTATTATTCCAATTACCAACACAAGGGGTTGATAAATGAATTATGAGGCCAGGTATTATTGCCATTAAATAGATCTCACTCAATTATTTATCCCTGGGTCTGGGGTTACAGTGCAGGGAGCTGTACATATCGTACCAGGGCTGGTTTGAGCTCCAAGACCTGGAGACCGGATTACAGACTTGGCAGGCGACTTTTGTTGAATGCAATTCGAGGGAATGACACATGTTTTTCTGTCAGACATTTGGATGGTTTGAAGCCAATAGATATTCAAAGTTTATCCACAAAATCTTACTCATATTATCCATGCAAAAAAAATATCCCTTTAAATTATCCAGATAAGTACAAATGGGTAGGAAGATGCATTAGCTATAGGAAAAATAGAAAAGTTTTCTTGCTTTTTAGTTTTCAAAGGCTCTGCTCTTTATGTTCTTGGATTCTGATATCTGTAGTGGCACACTCTAGTGTGTTAAGTACCATTCAGTGCTCCTCTCTGTATTGGATATTTCCCTTTTGTATCTTGTTTCTAATCACACAATGAAAGATGCTGTCTTCTGGTTAAGAAATCCATTATTGGAGAGGATGGGATTGGGTGGTTCTAGATTTTTTCTTCTTCTTGTTGTTGCTTTTTATCCTGCCCCTCATTGCAAAGGTTAGCCGAGAAAATAGTGTTAAGAGACATTCTTTCACTGAGTCACCAACTTCTTCCTATCCCATGTCCCTTCTTCTAGGCTAGCAAGCTGCAAAAGTGCTTCCTTATAACCTGAGAGCATCCTCTAAGGAGGTTCAAGAATCTATTCTTGGTAAAAAAAAAAAAAAAAGCAAAGAAACAAACAAACAAAAACTATTCTCATCCCACCCCATAAACTCTGGATTTTTTTTAACCACACCCTCTAGACTTCTTGTTTATCTTCTTCTTTTTTAAAGATTTGATTTAATCATTCATGAGACACACACACACACACACACACAGGCAGAGACACAGGCAGAGGGAAAAGCAGGCTCCTGTGGGGAGCTCCATGAGGAACTAGATCCTGGACTCTGGGGTCACAACCTGAGCCAAAGGCAGACACTCAACCCCTGAACCACCCAGGTGTCCCACCCCCTAGACTTCTGCTGAGTTGATTCCTGTAGCAATTTTGACAAGAGTGGGCAATGGGGAACGAAAGGAGCTAGAATGACTCTTCAGGTATCCTGGTATGAAACTTGGTGAAAGGCCTTTTGGAGAATGGAGGAGGGGGGAAGGCATTAGGGAAGAGAAGAAATTTCCACCTGAGATTGCAATGTTGAGTGAAGTCCAGGTTTTTATCTGAAAACCAATGTCAGAATATGTATGTTGAGGGTAGGGTGAGGTAGTACTTGAGAGAGCAATATGAAACTATACCTAGCATCAGGAAAAACTTGTCATTTGAAGAAACAAATGATAAAATCTTGTTTAGATTGCTCTAAGGAAAACTATATTTATAATAACTGACAAAACTCTTATGAATGCCATGTGAATAGGTTTCTATATTATTAGAAGAATTTATGATTAATTTTGTGGTGATTTTAATTTGGTTATAACCCTGACTTCACTCTCTCTCTCTTAAATCTTGCTAGTTTAATGATCCTATAACATAATCATCAGTTCACAAAATTAAAAATCTTGTCAGAAATATGAAGTAGAATAGCTATTTCTTTATACTTATGGCTGTTTAGAGCAGTCATGTTTTCTAATTGGCCACTCATCTAGAAAGTGATGTAACTCTAAAAAACCAAACTGAGCATCTTTTAAATTATCTGCTAAGTAGCTAGAGTAGCAAATATGCCCATGAAGTAGGCACTTTACATTTGAAAAACAAATTTTGATGTTCCTAATAGAAAGAGTGATTCTCTATTTGTATATGTTTATTATAATAGAATGATGTGGTGATTCCTATGTATACTTGGTTTTACGAATTTCAAGATTCTTGATGCCAAATAATTGAATTATAGCCAGTTTCACTATAACACAATATGTGGGTTCCTAAAGCCCATAAAACTGCAAAATAGGGCAGTGAAAACCACAGGGCTTATAGGAAAACTGGGGGTAAGGGACTAATAGTTAGAAATATCATCAGTGACACATTAAAAAAGATAGGTATAAAATGGCAGCAACATTTTACACATGCTAAATGGGTAAGAAATACATAAATACCAAAATGAATATGGCAGTTACTTTGAAAAAGATCTGATGTTTGCTTGTGGAAGTGGTTTTCACAGGTCTGTAATTTGTGATGTACTGTGACATTTGGAAGGAAGTTTTATAAGACCAGATGTGAATGGATATGGCTTTTCTAACACAGGGAGTGCAGTGAGGTAGCTGGGTGAGGTGTGTACATTTTGTATATACACTGCTAGGTTTAGCTGGATGCAACTCTCTGCATTTCCCTAGTATTGCTTGTAGATGAAAATCACATTTAAGCAAACACAAAATTTGTGGTATGCTTAAATTGCTCTGGATTGTATCAATCCTGTTACGACAGATTTTCAGTTTTGAAACAAGTGTTACAGGAGAATCCACTGTGCAGTAATCCATCCAACACTTTCACGTTTATGATCTCTCCTTCTTCTTGCCACCACTGGCCAGGCGGGGAAACTATAGCTCCCTGGTTTGTTTGTTGGGGAATCCTGATGTGTTAAAAGCCACAAAGTAACCAAGGGAAATTGTGCAGATCTTTCTCACATGTGTGTGAGTCCTGGGCACATGTGCTTTCCTCTGAGAAGTAGGGCCTCCTGAACATGTATACAGAGAGGGTCAAAAGCCTCTCACAGAGGCTGAGTTAGAACTCAAGTTAGAGTCAAGGTTAGCTTAGGTCAGTAAGATTTTTTATAAGTTTATTTATTTATTTATTTATTTATTTATTTATTTATTTTTAAGATTTTATTTATTTATTCATGAGAGACACACACAGACAGAGAGAAAGAGAGGCAGAGACACAGGCAGAGGGAGAAGCAGGCTCCATGCAGGGAGCCTGACGTGGGTCTTGATCCCGGGTCTCCAGGATCAGGCCCTGGGCTGAAGGCAGCGCTAAACCGCTGAGCACCCGGGCTGCTCCTGATATTTTATAATTTTATAAACATCTGTGAGGTGCTGTATTCACTCCTACCATATCATCTCTAGGACATATAGTTAATGCTTGAACATGACATGTTTTCTTGACTGCATGGGTGTAGAAACCAGGCCATGAGAGTGCTCAGTTTGTACTTTTTGATGTGGCTTTATTAAACATTTTAGAATGTGTAGAATGCCTTAGAAATCATTTTCAAATTAATATTTGTAGCTCAGAGGTCATGTCAAATGTCAAGGCATTTGATGACAAGGTCAGTCTAGAAACTCTTCCCATTTCCAGGGGTCTGCTCTATTACATTTCTGAGAAGACTCATGTAGAGGAGTGCAGTCCCAAAGTTTAGGAATGACCTTGGTTTTTGAGCATTAATTACTGTGGAAAATACAATTATTGGCTACTCCTCTGTCTCTATTCATCCTAAGTTGTGTCATTCAGCTCCACTTCCAGAAGGTTTAGTTTTATTAAGCATCTCCTCTACTCAAAGTAGTGGTCAGTGCTGTGGGGGATACAAAAGGACAAAATATTGTCCCTGCCCTCAAGGAGCTCATTTGGAGGCTCTGTATGATAACTGAAGAGAATCTATACTCTGTTGCATTTGTGTTTTTTATGGCATAATATGGGTGGGTGTACGTGCACAGGTGAGTTACTGGCTCATTCAGCAGGTGCATGTTGGGTTTTCGATCACTGGATATTATAAAATCATGAGTTTAGCACTTCCGAGGAATACCTTACCAAAAAGATCCCTCACTGACCTTTCATTTTATAAACATTTACTTTGTGTGTTAATGAGCTTACTTATAGTCATATGTGGAAGGGTCTTATTCTGTAAAATCACACATTCAAGGCACCATCCAACTGACAACAATGTTGTAGCTGTAGAAATACAGTCCAGGTTTGGGTTATCCTGGGTGATATCCTTTACGGCCCCCAAAAGGTCAAGACAAGCCTGGGCCGCCTCTGTTTTTAAAATTATTTTCCTATGTCAAACACACAGCAAATGCTAAATTGGCCAAACAAAGTTACAAAAATTGTAATATATTTAACATTATCCATTTTCAGGAGTTGATGCTTTTCTACACACACACAAAGACACTAATGTGACTATTGTAAATGTTAACTATTGTGGAATAATGTTCAAGTTTATATTTGAAGCCCTTTCAGAATATGAGGCCAAAAGTACTCCTTTCCTTTTCCTTCTTCCCTCAACCCCATTTACTGCACATAATATGGTTTTTCTCTTTCAAATCATAATTGGTTTTATGCGACTAAATACCAGGTCAGTAAGTGTGTTCAATGTCAGTTTGTCCTAACTTCTTTGCCCTATTTTTTTTTTAAAGCAATGCTTAAAAAAGAAGAAAAGAAAATATTTTAAAATAAACATTCTGACTGCCAAAGTCTGAAGTCAACTTTGGGTTCAATCTTATATGTGGTAGAAATGGAAAAGAATTAGCATTCTCTATTTTGATGCTTAGCATAAATTCCTTGCTTTTTGATGACTCCTGCTGATTAATAAGTGAGACTAAAATATCTTATTCTTCCCGGCTAGAATTAATAAGCTTTAACATCATTTACAGGTTCTTGAGCTTGAAATAGAGCTTAAATTCATGTGCTAAGGGGTCTAGAAGAAACAAGGCTGCAAACCCAATAAAATGAAATGTCCGCTACCTCTATCCTATGATTCTCAACCCATATCTCCCTTATCCCCCTTTTTTTTTTTCCTCAGGGAAGCAAAAAAATTTGTGAGTGAAAATGAAGGAGCCCTTGGGAAAGGGAAGGGAAAGCGGTGGTTTGCATTTAAGATGATGATGGCCAAGGTAAGCATTTTCACAATCCACTTTTGTTGATGCCATGCATTCTTAGGGGCAGCCATATTGATTCCAAGGAAAAGAAAATTGGTTCTGTTACGTGAGACGGAAAATGTCTTACACTTTCTATATATGAAGCATGTACACACATACAGTATATACATAGAGTATCTATGGTATTGAAATTTGGGACAGAGTGTAATTCAGAAAACAAACAAACAAGCCCCGAAACATTTCTTAAAGGCATTAAAATGAAAAATAAGGTGAGAAACATTGACTTATGGCAAAAGACTTACTTGTCTGATATTCTCACTCCTAAATGGCAAAGACAGTGCCCTTTTCATTTCCATTCCCTGGTACTTAAGGGGTACTGGGTCAAAGTTTCTTTCTTAAGTTTTAGGGCCATACAGCTCTTCTCTATCAGGAACATCAACTATAAATTGAATAGAATGTTTTTATACCAATATAAACATAGATTCTTAGAAAAGACAGAAGAGAAACTAACATTTATTTAGTTTTTACTATATGCCAAGCACTGAACTGAATCCTTCAATGAAGTTATCATATTTAACTCTCAAAGCAAAGTAGGTTTGGTGGCATTATTATCTGTTCTTTTCAATTGCTATGCCATTTGTAAGGTAAATGCATTTTCATACAGACGGGATTTTGTGAATAGAATTTATATATCTTAAATATGAAATGTGGGTAGAAAGATTTATGACATATATCAGAGATTTTGTCTGTTTTTATAATTTAAATGAATAGAATCATACAGTATTTATACTTTTGTTTCTGGCTTCTTTGGTACAATATTATATTCATGAGATACAACCATGTTGTGGTAGTTGTGGTAGTTAACGATGTGTTGTATTCTGTTGTATGAAGGTACTCCAGTTTATTCATCCATTCACTTGTAGATGGACCTTTGGGTTGTTTCTAGTTCAGATCATCTTTTGAACTTCAGGCTTGTCTCATACTGTTATTTGGGTTCTACATTATCTCGTCATAATGTGCTCTTATGCAAAGTTATCTGCCCCATTCCCATTCTTCCTTTTGTGGTCCTCTTGACCATGGATGGCCCAACATTGTGGAATAAAATGGGAGGAAGTTCTTTCATAAAAACTAATGTATGATTTTTTTTTCTTGCTTCCTTTTCTATGATACTTTGTCTCTCTATTTAATTAGCTGCTCTACTTACACCAGAATAAAAAGTGTCCTATGTCATAACACTTACCATCCTGTATTGAAGTTACTTGTTTATGTACTCTAGTAGACCCGCAAGCCCTTCAAGTCAGGAGCCATGTTTTGTTTATATTTCATTAATTTCTTCATGTAATGATTATTTAAGTAAACACATATAATTTGCCTATCACCTAATATTAGGTGCTAACTCAGTCCCTTATTGTCTGGTAGAATAAACAGATCTTTCTCAGCATATTTTCTATAAAACAGGAGATCCATAAAAGTTTTTTTAATTGAATTGGGGTGGGGGTGGGTGAGGAAGAGGGAGGCAGGTAAAACCTACTATTTTCCCTTTTTACACAAAGCTTTCTGTGGCACCAGAGAGACCTTTCCAAGCTCATCATCTTGTGATATTTTGGGATGGGGGTGGAGGATAGACATCTTGGCAAACAAGAGACTGGGTTTTACTGTTGTATTTTGCTTTCTTTTCAGAAATGGGCAAAATTTCTTCGTGATTTTGAAAACTTCAAAGCTGCTTGCGTCCCGTGGGAAAATAAAATCAAGGCAATTGAAAGTAAGTGCTCATGAGATCTCATTAGACAGGAAGGTTGTTTCATAAGCCTATCAGATACCTTTCTCAATTTCTATACTATTGGAAATACTAAATACAAGAAAATGAACAAACACAAATAATCATTTTTTTTTTTTTTTTTTACATTCTCTTGGTTTACTGTGAAAATTTGCGAGCACTTACCAAGCACAGCACTGGAGACCCCACCTCTCTTTCCCTAAGTCAGACCAAAATATTCTCGTCCTAACTTTGTTTTCTCTTCTATGTGGGGAAGTCAATTGTATGCGCAATGACATTGAATCATATATATTACTGGGAAGGCAACGATTTTATTTTGGCAATGAACATGACATTGAAAATATATACTCTTGTGAGAGGGAGACAATAATCAAAATGAACAATGTCTAAAAAGAACGAAGAAATCTTAATATCTCATTTTCAAATCTGAAGTAGAATAAGTAATCATCATCCAGGAACTTTCTATGTGAAGATTATATTGTGCCTTCATTTTATACAGTGTTTGTAGGGTATAGAGAAGTCAGGAGAATATACTCTATCAAAAGCCTACTTAGAACAGTGCTCTAGGCTTAGAATAAGGCAAATAAAAAATGTTAAAACAATAAGTATAATAAATAGTTTTTTAAAGTAATGAAGAATATTTCAAGAAAAAGGGATAATTTTTCAAACAATTCTGAGCACAATCTTGCCATATTTTGGTTTCTGAGAGTTTGGCTAGGCTATGATTTTCCTCCCTGACTTTACTGATTGAGAGGCAGGTTTTCCTGCTGGTTAAATGTGGCATTGCATAATTAAAATGGAGGCTCCATAGGGAGATAACAGAGTTGATAGATATTTCATGGACATGATTGAGCATGTTTTAGGAGTGCCTATCCTGAGTCCTCTGTCTCTCATTATCAAGTGGCAATGAATTAAAAATACATCAATTAATTAATTGCACTTCCTCCTACATATTCCTGTATCACCCCCCCATCATCGCTTTTTTTCCCTCCTTAACACTTGCTATCCAAAATACTGTGTTTTCAATGTAATTTTTAAATGTAATTTCACTTCATTTCATTTTGTGTTTATTTCTTCCAGTAGAAACGAAAGCAGAGGTTTGGTTTGGTTTGCTCCTAGATTACCAGACCTAGAATATGCTTGACCTTAATAAGTATGTGTTGAATAAAATTAAATAGCAGATCTTCTTCAAATGCTTACCATTCTGAGAAAAGGAATTTAGACCCATCAGAAAAGGAGAGACACCACGGAATCCTTAAGCTTCAAGTATATAGATGAAATGTGGTACCAGAAGACCATTTGGAACATTAAGGTCTTGATACAATTTGTGTGAAAAGAACTCTGGATTTGGTTCTTACTTGCTGCAGATTAGCCATTCAACTCTGAGGCGGTCATTTAATCTCTCTGGGCCTCAGCCTATTCATTTATAAGATGGTAGGGTTGAATCTTGATCAGTCATGAGATGTATTCCAAGAAATTTGTAGTAATTGTTAAAATATGTACATTTGCAAATTCTTTATTTTGAAGGTCCACTAGAGCAGGTTCTAGCTTGTCTCAATACAAATGTCATCCCCATATGTGTTGCAGTAGCCTATCTTAAGTGGGACAGAAACAGATGGAATTATTTTTATTGCCAGAAATTTCACACAGGAATGAGTGACACATACGACTACCATGTAGCATGTGTGTTGCTGTGGGAAAGAGGGATTAAGAGCCATCAACTAAACTTTTAGTTATCTTCCTTCATCTCCTCTTCCTCCAGAAAATTGGGCACAGTCAGCTGGATAATTCCAGCAAATATGAATTATTTTCTCTTCCATACACAATTTCTGATTTGTTTAGGTCATCCTGATTTCTCCACCTTTAATGGTGCTTTGCTTCACTGTGGAGAATTGATCCTTATTTTCTATTCCATCAACAATTGCCCCAATTGCCAGTCTTTGAGTGTCACTTAGCTACTCTACAAACACTTTGCATAATCTTTACTGTGCCTGCAATGTGCACTGTAGCCTTTTTATTTTCAATTTGCAGTTAAATAACTGTCCCAGGATTAGTTACTAGAGGAGCTGAGATGTAAGGTGAAGTTCATCTGGGCCCAAAGCTTGTGGTTTTCTCAATGAGGCTTGCTCATTTGATACTTGAAGGAAGATTTTATACACTTTTTCTCTGGCATCACGTCCCAGAGTGGATTCTACTAGGGCAATGGCAGAAGGAGTAGTTATAGATTTCTTGATCATTATCCTATTTGGGGAATTCTGTCCCATTTTCTCATGTGCTTTTTTTTATGTGTTTATTTTTGAATAAGTTATTTATTTAAATATATACATAATCTTCTATAAATGCTTAATGCATTATGGTGTTAATGATAATCATCAGTAAACTAAACGCTTTTGGGCTATTGTATTAGTTGAAAAGTATGAAGTGTACTAACAAAGTCATTGGGTCAGACTAACCATCTCATAGAAAGATCCCTACCAAAGATGGGGAAGCATGTATGTGTAATTTTTTTTTTAATTTTATTTATTTGAGAGAGAGAAAAAAGAAAGAGAGCACGAGCAGCGAGGAGAGGGAAAAGCAGACTCCCCATTGATCAGGAAGGAGCCCAATGTGGGGCTCTGTCCCAGGACTCTAGAATAATGACCTGAGCCAAAGGCAGACACTTAACTGAGCCACCCAGGCACCCCTCAATGACAGTCTTTTTTTTTTTAAGGTTTTATTTATTTATTCATGAGAGACACAGAGAGAGGGAGAGGCACACAGGCAGAGGGAGAAGCAGGCTCCCTTAGAGGAGCCTGATGTGGGACTCAATCCCAGGACCCCGGGATATTGACCTGAGCCCGAAGCAGGTGCTCAACTGCTGAGCCACCCAGGTGCCCCTGTGATGGTCTTTGAAACTTAACTAAATGGAAATAGGAAAAGAAATGGAACATGCAATCAGTTTTCTAAAGGTTGAAGTCCTTTAGCCCCTGACTAGCTCTATAGTATGGGTAATCGTTTTATATCTGGGGCCCTCTGTTTCCACATTTGGAACTTCCCCCAAATTTGAGGTTTGACTGGTTCCTATACAGAGCAATTTATAAGCTAACATTCTATGACTTATAACTTACAATCACTACAATATTTATATGTAAGCATATGAAGTTCTTTATACTTTTGAGTGATAACTTATTGAAACAGTTAAATGAGAAACAGACTTCTAGGGAGTGAGGCCTGCATAATTTACCTTCTGCCAATTCTTCTCAGAAAAAAGTAGATTAAACATGTACCATATTTATAAAATACATATTTCATATTGTAAAACTAATACCAATGCTTTTATCTTATAGAAATGACCATTTAATCTTACAGAAGTTTCAGAAATATTATTGTATTCCTTTTGAAAGTCAGAATAGTCTAACATGTAATACTTCATTTAATCTTCAAAATAAACTTGACTGTACTGATTAATTGAGCAAATACTCACTGAGTGCCTGTGTTATTAGGTCTGTTTCCAGGCACTGGGCATGCAATGCTGATAAAGACTGGCAAGACTTGATCTAACATCCAATTGTGTTATATGAGTTTGTCTGGGGAAAATATAAGCAATTAAAAACAAGAAATTTTGGATTGTAGTCAGAGGCATGTTTAAAACAGGAGAAGCTAAGCCCCATTCCCAAATCTTTCTGATGCATTTGCCCTCATTCTCTGCTAAATCTCTAGATAATACTGAGCAAGTAATTTTTAAGTATGATTTTTAAAGGAATCCCATATTACTAGTCTTCTCTGAGTTTCCATAAAACTCTCTGATAACTTGCAGAATTGAGAGGGGAACTTAAATCAAGTCTAAAACTCATGCTGAATCCATCTTGATACCAGTAAGGCCTAGATCTCTTTGCTACTGTGGATCAGGTTATCATTTGAGGACTCCCAATTTTATTTTTCACATCAAAAATAGATTTGATCATTTCTGCCACAAAGGGATGCTGTGAAATTCTACATTACAGGGGAATGCTTGTGAAGAGGCCATGCTAAAAACCCTAGAATTACTCACAAGGATGTACCTTATTAACAACATTGCATTGCATATTTTACTGAAGAAGCTATGTATTTGTACTCCCAGGAAATATAATGTATATGCATTGTGACTCCAGAATTATTATCAAAAACGTGGATTAAATCATTGAATGTCCTTCAAGCTGAATATTACAAGTCTTCCTCAGAATTGAAATCTGCTTCTTCCTAATAATAAAGTATGGCACTGAAATAAAATGTGAAAGACTATTTTTCAGATAGGAAAGATCTGCAGATAGACAACCCTAAGAACAGAGTTTAAACCTCATGTTTCTCTACTGGCTTAAGGGCTCCAGAAAATGCAAATCAAATTTGCCACATTTAATTCCCCTAGACCACTTTGAAAGCAACTATGCTTCATGTCCTAGACTAACAAGATTGTATTTATACTGTGCTCATACAGCAGGTGATTTAATTGGTCTTTTCCCATTTAGAAATGCTCATATTTGTCTGCCTGTCTTATTACCCATCTGTTCAGGAGGAAATTATGCATGATGACAGGCTACAAATTACTTTGCCTTAATAATAAATAACCAGAGGGAGAGGTGGAACTTTAACCTTAATTTAAAAGAAATGCAAGAAAATTCAGCAACACGAATATTGCATAAGCTTAAACGGCCTCACTTGAATACATACCAAGGACTCAGTTTTACTGTATTAATAATTCATTATGGAAACAGAATTTATTAGTCAGATTAAAGAAAAAAAGGAACCGGTAATTTCTGGGCAGCATCCCAATTTATGAATGTGAATGGCCTTAGCTGATTAGTGGATATTGCCTATATTCTTTCAGACATACACATTCATGGCTTATTTACTCCATATATTATCAAGTTTTTAAAATAATGTAATTAATGATTCCACTTGAATAGCAACATAGCACTGTGGTTAACAGAGATCTGGATTTGAAGTTAAACACCTACAGAGCAAGGCTGCCTAGTTTAGAACTCTGGCTACATCATTTACTACCTACATAACTACTTATGTAACCCTGGTTCCATCATTTATTAGCTGTGTAACCCATGGGCCTAAGTCTCTGTAAAGTGAGAGCAGAGGATTTCTCTTCTTGTAAGAATTCCACGATGACTAAATCAATCAATACACAACATCAAAATAGGTGTCTGAAGGAAAATTCATTAAATTCTAGCTATTGTTATTATTAATCAAGTCTTGGTTCAGGCAAATACTATGTTTAACTTTTTGGTTCCCCATCCACACAGTGAAACTAATAACGCTGCATAATTGACCAGGAAAATATATCAGCTATTATTATTATTATTATTATTACTACCAACCATTCCTATTCTTTACAAGAATAAAACAATTTTATCAAAGAGACTAAGCACATGGAATGACTGTTTTCTTTAATTATGATCTCTTAGATACACTATAGTAAGGTTTCTCTTTTCAGTAAATGCCAGATTTAGCCACCAGCCTCTGGTCAGAACCACTAGGATAAGTGGATGTGATGAGGGAAATTTCTCCTTTTTTGCTTTTGTTTTGAGACAGGGAAACGTCCTATAGAACTTGGATGCCAACCAGTTGATTTGTTTTCTCTCCTTTACAGTCTTTATTTTGTTGCTGTTCTCTGCCCTCTGCTATGAACAATGTTTTCTGGATTCCTTGATCTCTTTGACCTGCATCTGGGTCTTTTGTACAATCACTAGTTTCAATGAAATCTGTTTTCCTGAAATTCATTTTCTTTAGATATAGGATTCTGTAAAAAGAAAAAGAAGAAGAGGAAGAAGAAGGAAGAGAGGAAAGAAAAAAAGGATAGAAAACAAGAAAAAAAGGATAGGAGGGGTGCTTCATTGTTATTTCTCTACTTCCAGAGAGAATATTTGTGAAAAACTGAAGCCTGAAAGCTTTGGAGTCTAAGTGTATTTCATCCATAATGGATGTGGATTATATAAGAGGGAGGGGATACTTTCTGCAACATTTTAATTTGCTCCTCTTTTTTGCTTTTATGTATATTTACACTCTGTACTCAATTTAAGAAATTCATTTGCTAGGGGTTGTGTATGGGAGCTGAGAGAGGGCAGGCAGTGGGTGCTAATGAGAAGAGCGAAACTGTAAAAAAGAAGGCAGGAAGGGAAGGAAGGAAGGGAGGGAGGGAGGAAGGAAGGGATTGAGGGGAGGAGAGAGGAAAGGATGAACCAGCATCCTGTGCTTGGGCCTCTAAACCAGAAGATCTGCCATGTGTTTCAGGGAGAAGCTTGCTCCAGGTACCTAGAGACGAAGTTCCTTCCTTTGCCAGTTAATGAGTAACTGTAATGACTAATAAGGTGGAAGTCTACTGCCTTCAATTAAACATGACAAGTGAACCTGGCTGAGGGAGTCCATGGGCAGTTGTTACCAGAGAACATAGATAACAGCCATGAAATGATATGAAATCACTGGGAGCCAGGTGGATGATCAGATGTCCTGGGACGGGCAGGTCTGCGTAGCCCTTCTGGAGATGGCCCAATGCATCTGGTTACAGTACCTGAGGGCATGTTTATCAAGACCACATGCTTTTAGAAATTTTGTAGAACTCTGCTTTTCTCTACAAAGTGAAATAAATCCAAAAATTCAGACTTGAAAATAATTGATTTTTAAAAAATATCCATTTAGACACTGACTTTTTAAAAAAAATTCTATAAAAATTGTCACTGTGTTATGGGAATAGGCAAGGTGGCACCTACAGAATAGAAACTTCAGAAACAGAAGCATGACTCTAGTGTGATCTCAGCCTCGTCTTACTAAGCAGAGACTGGAATCTGCTTCACGTGAGCCTCCTTCTGCAATAATGTTTCCCCACCCCTAATGCCTCAAAGCCAGAGAACCAAGAAAGCTCTCAGGCCCTGGAGGTGTTTTGCTGAATGAGTCAGGAAAAAGGGCCTGATCTGGTGGGTGGTTGCACAGATTCATCACTTCTTCTTGGGCAACTGAAAAGGGGAATTGGGAATTGGGAAGAAAACCGGCAACTTGATATTGAACCTTAAGTGATGATCAAAGAAAGTGGGGCTTTTGTTAATTGGTGAAATCTCAACCTGAGACTTCACATTCCTGTTCTTTCTTCCTCTTTCATTCTTTGATTTAGGATAATGGGTTTCTTTTTTCTTTTCTTTTTCTCAGTAAATAGGATTTAGACAGATCCCTTTTCACTGGGACATGTGCACATTGATGGCTCATTCTTGTCTGTCCCTTCTCAATTCGTTTCCCAAAGCTGAGGAGACTTTAAAGGTCACAGTCTACTCCCCCCAACCCCAGTCCTGCTGCTTAACACCTATTGGTGACTTCTCAACACATTTAAAATAAAAATCTCATTTTTTAATGTGTCCTTAGGAGGCCCTACATAGTGTGGTTTGGCTTGTCTCTTCATCTTCATCTGTCGCTTCTCCCCCTTGTTCATTAGGCTCCAGCCACGCTGTCCTTCGATTTGTTCCTCAGTTGGCCTGAGCTCTTGTTTCCCTCCAGATATTTGTTCTCGCTCTTTCCTCTGCTTGAGCTGCTCTTCCCCAACCTGGGCACTGCTATCTCTTCCTCCAACTTCAGACCTCTGCTCAAATGTTACTCTCTCGGGCAGCCCAGGTGGCCCAGCCCAGGGTGTGATCCTGGAGACCTGGGATTGAGTCCCACATCAGGATCCCTGCATGGAGCCTGCTTCTCCCTCTGCCTGTGTCTCTGCCTCTCTCTCTCTCTCTAATAAATAAATAAAATCTTTTAAAAAAATGTTACTCTCTCTAATATACCTTCCTCAATGAGCTTATTGAAAGCAACCCTCTTTTTTAAAATTTTTTTTAATTTATTTATGATACTCACACACAGAGAGAGAGAGGCAGAGACATAGGCAAAGGGAGAAGCAGGCTCCATGCACCGGGAGCCCGACGTGGGATTCAATCCCGGGTCTCCAGGATCGCACCCTGGGCCAAAGGCAGGCGCCAAACCGCTGTGCCACCCAGGGATCCCCGAAAGCAACCCTCTTGATATTTTTTACCTTCCTCTCTCTAGGACCTATCTGGCAATAATTGTTACATATATATAATTGTTATAATGATATAATCATATGCAATTTTGCATATCATGTATAATACATATATATCATGTATGTGCTACATGCCTAAATGATAGATCATATATAATACACAATGTATATGAATATGCATATAATATGTATGATATATATGATACATACTCTATGTACACATAATATGAAATACAATAGAATATAGCATATATATTATGATAAATACATATGTTTATTTATTTATTTTTAAAATTCCTGCATCTCTGTTATTTCCATACCTCACTAAAATGTAAGTTGTATTAGAGCAGCAACCCTGTCTGTGACATTGTGTTTCACATCTAAGGTAATTCTTTACAGAAGATATTTTATTTTTTTTAAAAGATTTTATTCATTTGAAAGAGAAGGATAGCACAGCAGGGAGCAGCAGGCAAGGGAGAAGGAGAAGCAGGGAGCCCAATGCAGGGCTCGATCCCAGGACTCCAGGATCATGACCTGAGCCGAAGGCAGACACTTAACTGATGGAGTCACCCAGGTGCCCCCAGAAGATACTATAAATATGTGAAGAGTGGGTGAATAGACTTCAGCTTCTATGCTGTACCTCAGAGATGCCAATGATGCAGATAAATAGTGCAGGATGGTCTGCAAGAAAGCTGTCCGTCCGGGATGTGGTAAAGGGTTTTGAGAGCATTGTTGCCCAAAAGAAAGGTGGCCGAAGTGCAGTGATTATGATGATAATGATAGCTAACTAGGGCCAAGAACTGTAATAACCACTTTACAGGTATTCCCTCACTTAAACGTTATTAACTCTGAGAATAAATGGGTTCTTCAGCTAGTAATGCTGGCTGCTAAGCCAGAGGCAGCTCACCTTTGGCTGGGCTCTAAAGGCGCAGGTCACAATAATTGCACATAACTGCACCTACATGGTAGAGAGCACTTCCACCACCAATAACATTTTCTCTTCTTGGATAGAAAGAGAATGCTGGAGACTGTCAATGTGGAAAGGACCAAACTGTTGTCATGAGCCCATTTATTTTGGAAAGCACCAAGACATGGCTTTTGGTTGGTTTGCTTCTGACCTTTCAACCTTTCATTTTCTTCTTGATAGGTCAGTTTGGCTCATCCGTGGCCTCCTACTTCCTCTTCTTGAGATGGATGTATGGAGTAAATATGGTTCTCTTTATCCTGACATTCAGCCTCATCATGCTGCCAGAGGTAAGAATCTGACTTCCAGTTTACAGGGGGGAAAAAAAAAGTTGAAATAAGTTTCTCATGTGATCACTGTTCTAGAAAATTTCTTTTCTCTTCTGAATAATAGCATCATTAACTGGCAATAGCCACTCTTGGAGTCATAGCACGTGCAATGAGGTTAATCTGCAAAATGGTCCCCATTGGCCAAAAATTCTAATTCTTGCTCCGAAGGGTACATGGGCCTCCTGAAATCATATATAAAACATCGTGTATACATTTAAATGTACATTTTTATATGGAATGATTCATGGCTTTTCTCAGATTCCCAACGTGGTCCCTGTGCTAAAATGTTAATTGCTCAAAAGGTAGGCTTTGACACCTTGTGAATTGTATTTACTTATTTTACCGAGTTTGCTTTGAAGGAAATGCTTCTAAGTGCAACCCAGGATATTTAGCTTTTCTATCTGAAGAAACACAAAATGAGCAATTTTTTTTTTCTCCCGGATGTAAAGTAAGATAACCCAGATACTCCCTTCCCCTTCCAGGCACACATACGGATACACAGAGGGGTGGGGTCTTCTGGATCAAGGTCAGAGAGGAGAGTAAAGAAGATGGTGCTTCCAGATTGAAGAAGACAAAGCCCTGAGCTGATGTGGGGGAAAGAGTCCATCAGCTAGGGTCAGGAAGCAAGACTAAGGTTGGAGCCTTTATCCATAAGAAGTTAAAAAGACTCTGACCTTTGGACGCTTACTTATCATACAAAAGTCAGGTTAGGCTTTATTTAAGCTACAAAGGGTCTTTTCAGGTACCATTATTTCAAAGCTAATTTGTTCAGAACAGCATTGCCAACAGCCAAAACTAAGTGTTTTGAGTGACATGTTATCCCCATGGTTTTGAATCAGGGCCAGTTACTGTATAAAGCCTCCCCCAGGGGCATAATAATCCTAATAATTCCTTACATTCATGACAAGTTTTAACTTTTAATAGCGCAAAAACACCTTCACTTCTTTTACTTACGGAGCCTCACAACGAATTTATGAGGTAGATTATAGAAGAGTTTTCTTTCCCCATTTAAAAATGTGGAAATAGTCACGCATTTCTTATTGGGTTTAACCAATATTTCAGAGAGAGGCTTTTTAAAGCTGTTCTGGGAATAAGACCATGATTCAGTCCTTTGTCCCAATAGTTTGCAACCTAATTCACTGGTTTTATAATCCCTGAGATAATTCCCAAGGTTCTACAGCTATCTGGCTCTTAGGAGACAGTGGACACAGATCAGAAGTCCTGCTATACAGTTTATCTCTCCAGTGAAAACTTACAGGCAAATGCAGCAGAATGCAAGTCACCTATTTCAAATTAACTCAAGCTTTTTTTTTTTTTTTTTCTCTCTCATCTCTCTAAGGAAACCTGAAACTCCTTCATGGGCTATGATGACGTTTCTTAGTGTCAGACTCGGGGTAGACATGTTTTATCAGTTGTGCTTGCTCTTTCCCCCACACCACAGCCTCCATGGAAATGAAAGGTTGTGGCTGATTCGCTCTAGCTATATGGAGTTACAGAATGCCCGATATATAGCAGAGGGAGCTAATCTGTGTCTGATTGGGTGTAGGCCTAGAACCAAGAAGCATATTGTCTTTGGATGCTTTCTTACAGGTTTGTGTTAGATGCTGAGGGGTGTCCTGTTTTCTGGGCAATGCTTACCACCTCCAGCCAAAGAACAAAAGAGGATGTGCTAGCTTTACCAAACCACCAGTGGCCAGGGTGGGTCGCCTCTTGGCAAAAGGGCTCCATTTTCCCTCTGCCTCCACCCACCAGCCTCATTCAGCCTTCCTTTGAGACAGCATGGAAAGGAATCACCTGCTCTGTTCAGTCCTAGGAAGCCAAGAAGTTTCCATGAAAGCCATGCAGCTTGTGTGGCAGGTAGGACTAGAGGCTGATTTCTAGCTCCTGCCCTGTCAAGCTCTGCACTTGGGCTTCCAGCCACATTCATCCTCCACTCGCAGCCCCAGGGAAGGAAAGTTTTCATATTACATAAGAAGCAGCATCTGCTTGGCGAGCCATGTGCCTGCCCTGGGGCTACAGGGGTGCTTTTTCTAGTTCTCCCGGACACCTGCTAGAACTTTGTTCTTTTTTCCTCGTTGGCTGGCTTTGTCCCTAACAACTCCTCTTTGAATCTGGTAGCATAAGATCAAAATAGTAAACTTGAATTAGTGGCAAAGCAAATACAATCAGGGTGCAGTCTTTCTTCCTATTTGACACTCTCAAACTATATGAGTGATTCACTTAAGTCTTCTCTTCCTTAATACGAAAGAGAGAATCTCCCTCCACCCCCACCCCTAAGAGGTAACCCCATATGAAAATGTGGGTAGTATGGTTCCTTTTTTGAACATTATAGTTCCCCCAAAGGCCTCTTTTCTCCTCCCCAGACCTCCCTCCTCTTTTCTTCCTCCCCACACAAGACACCAGTTTGGAGTTGGTGGTGGGTAGTGGGGCTTCTCAGCAAGCCTCTGGGCATGTGGTTGGCCCAACTGTTGGTGGTCCACTGAACTTAGAATGCAGGGTGCTTAGCACTCCCTTTGTTCTTAACTCTGGATTTAGTAGTCAATTCCCAGAAAATGGGACCCCACGTGGAGACCCACAGAGTCCCCATGAAAATGTGTAAGAAGTGCTTTTAAATGAAACCATTTGTGATCACATGTGTGGCTCAGACTTTGTTTCCAATTATTAACTGCTTTCTTTGCTTCTCTATATAGTACCTCTGGGGTTTGCCATATGGCAGTTTACCTAGGAAAACAGTTCCCAGAGCTGAAGAGGCATCTGCAGCAAACTTTGGTGTGTTGTATGACTTCAATGTAAGTGTCTCTATACAGCTGTATTGGTAGGAGGACAGATTTTTCTTTACTATCTGAAACCCCATTGCCTCTTCTTCTGGGGCTGGTTGAAGGTCTTAAGAGATAAGTCCCTGCCCCCAGCTAAAAAGAGAATAATGAAAGAAAGAAGAGAAAGAGAGAAAGAAAGAAGAGAGAGGACAGAGAGAGAGAAGAGAAAGAAAGAAAGAGAAAGAAAGAAAGAAAGAAAGAAAAGAAAGAAAGAAAGAAAAGAAAAGAAAAGAAAAGAAAAGAAAAGAAAGAAAAGAAAAGAAAAGAATAGGAGGGAGGAAGAAAAAGAAAAAATGAAAATTGGTTTCAGAATATGATAACATGATTAAATGGGAATATAGACTACTGAATGAAGGCAAACTAAGAGATCAAAGACTTGAAACACGTATCTTTATCTCTGGCTTTGGAAAAGAACAAAGGAAGAGTTTGCAAATGTGCTTTTTGAAAAATCTTATAGGATTCTTAGGGAATTAGAGCTTTAACATTTCATATTAACCGTTTTTGCTTCCTAAACAAATCTATTTAGTATTACTGAGTAGTCAATACTAAATAAAGTTAAATATTAAATACTAAACAGTACTGAATTCTACCTTCTAAATAGGACTAAAATGAGTATCACTCCATTGTGATACCCATGTGGACATTACTCGACCGTAATACTAAAATAGTATTAGTTTTTGAGCTGTCCTGGGTAGGGATTGTTGCTGTGGCAGAGACCCATCTTTGGCCATTGAAAAATCATTTTGGAGTTTGATTCAACTCTATGGCAACTACTCATTTCCACACATTCTTTTTAAAATAGCGACCAGATCAGAGATATTTGAAAGTGTAGAAGATAAGAAAGTAGCAAGGTAGAGATTGGGAAATTGTTAATTCAAGGAATTTTTGGAGAGTAGCAAATGAGAATAAGATAAAAGGAGGAAAGAAAAACTAATAAACACTCTTCCTGGTAATAGTATTGATAGGTATATTTTACAGATGTTTTGAATTTTGCCCTTAAATCCCTGAAATTGTGAGCTTCTTAAAGAGGGAATCATATCTGTTGCATCTTCTTTGAAGCCCTTGATATGATACTTAACCAACAGAAGCTTAGTGAATCTTATTGATTCACAATCCTGAGTAAGAGGAGGATTTATAGAGCCTTGAGAAAAGAGCCATAGAAATTAATTTATGTTAGTAGTACCAGAAAATGTAAACTTAAGGAAAAGTTCCCAGTCTTTGAGTAAGCAAGGCAAGCTAGTGAATAAGCATAAGGCATGGTGGCAGCCCCAATTTTGTGGCATTTGGAATCTCCAATCATCTTTGCCAGTTGGACTTTTCATTTCAACATTTATTTATTGAATATGAACAAATGTTTGTTTTACAAAGATAAAGGTGACATGATTCTTGATCTTAAGGCACTCATGACAGTAGAAGATAGTCAACTAGTATATCATAACGTCATATGCTAAGTTAGCAAAATAGAAAAAAGAAAAAGACACTGGGAAGCCGCAAGGAAGTGATTGTTAATTTTGCCTGGGAAGGTCTAGGATTTATGAAGGATATGACCTCTGAGTTAGATTTTACTTATCTTTTATTTATCCTTTCTGTTATCTTCCATCTACCCACTCATCTCTCTCTCTCTCTCTCTCTCCCCACCCTTTCTCTAAATATCAAATAGTTTTTTACTATGTTCCCCTGAAACTGCTTTTATGTCTTATTCTCTTCTGATTAGCAAGATAATAAACTTTCAGTCTGGTTAATAAAAACAAGAACTAATAATATCATTGGCATTTTCTGATGTTTTAGTCAAACCAGAGAAAAGAACTGAAAGTATTAAGAAAATATTTTTATTTGTAAACATATATTTAATGAAGCCTAAGCACTTGTAAATTTGTCGATTAACTGAAATTTAAAAGGTGGGGAAAAAAGTCGATTAGGAATTTGAAAGGTATTAATCAGCTGAGGAAAATAAAGAAGGTAGCTATAAGGGGCAAATCAGGAGCTCTCACCGGAGGATACAGGAGGAAGCTAGGGGAGATCTGGGCAATCAGTGGGTTCACCAAGATTTTATGACTGCTCTTGATAGTTCTCTCATGTTCAGTTTATTGAAATGCTATTTGTAGGTGGATAGAGGAAGACAGAAACCAAAGTAGCCTGTGTTACTCGTTTTCCTTTATAATTCTAGGTCTGACTAAAACCAACTCTAAAGCTATAAGAGAATATAAATGGTCAAGAAAAAATAAGAAAGTCATTAAAGTGATATTATTCATTTACACCTTTTCTTAATTGTTCTGCATACTGTAACCACTCAGTTATTTGCCATTTATCATAAAATAAAAGGTTTTTAGAGATAGAAATGCTTTTAGAGCTCTTCCATCCCATATTTCACATTATAAAATTAGGGAAACCGAGTCACAGAAGCATTTTTTTTTTTTAATTCAGGGTCTTATAGCTATCTAGTGGCTCCTAATCCATCTATCACGGCACTATGGAGGAAATCATTAACTATCCTTGAGATCCCTACAAACAGAATTCTGCACTTCCAAAGAGCACAGAGATGCCAGGAGGAAAATACATGTCTCAGGCCTAAGGCAGAGATAACAAGTGCCTGAACAATCTAATTAAGCTATGGGCTAGCTCGTTGCATCTAAGAAGGTTAATGTGCCAGTTTAGCTAAACAATTCCATGTAAATACAGATGAAGAGAAGCAGAAAAAGATTTATAGAATACTGCGAAAGAGATACAAGCATGACCTCTTGTGGCAGAGGAGCTTATATGATGTGAAGGGTCAGAAAACCTTTGGGATGGAGGTGGGAAGGTGGAGTCTCATGTTGGAAACTTGGAACTTCCTTCGGGACAGCCCCTACCTGCAAAGTATCTCTCTGGAGCTCAGTGCTCTCTTATTTGTAAACACATGTCATAACTCATCAAAATTCCCTTTAATTAAAAGTAGACAAACACCGTTTGATATATGCAATGTTGGCCAGTCTTATGGCCTCTCAGTCATGGTTTACAAAGCACCCATTTTTTATCCTTTTATTGAGTACCTAGCAGTGAGTCTTACTAATTTGGAGGAAAAAAATATTTTATTAAAGTAGTACAAAATAGTGAGTTGTCTCATGTGTGTGCTATGAATTCAATTGGCAGATGTGGTATCATTTGAAGCAGTAGAATTGGAAGATTGGATTTAGGTCAGGAAGAAGAGGATGTCTTTGTTGGCAAAACACTTGGAGACACAAGAATGATGCATGAATGATAAAGAGAAATAGACTACAGTTTTGATATTCTTGTAAGGGAGAGAGACAGGAGCTGAAGTGACATTTGGAAGGAGCTGGAGCTGATATCAGATGGTGAGATCATTTGGGTAAAGATTTGAGTTGTGAATAAAGGGAAATGTACTCAGTTTTCCAGCTTGTGAGCATCTTGTACATTGTGTGAGGATAAATGGTGAATGGACTTTGCCTCTTCTTTTCTGCTGGTCATCATAGATTTGGTGGGTGAAGCCCTAAAAGGAGCAGGAGAGGAGAATTAACACCACTCATGTGTTAAGTAGTCACATACATTAAATTTAATCTTCATAACAACCCTTCAGAATGAAGATCAATCATCTTTTTTATAGGAGCACCTGGGTGGTTCAGTTGGTTGGGCATTGGACTCTTGATTGCTGCTCAAGTCATGATCTCAGAGTCCCAGAATGGGTCCCAGGATGGGCCCCAGGTCTGGCTCCACACTCAGCATATAGTCTGCTTGTCCCTCTCCCTATGCTCCTCCCCCCCGCCCCAACTCTCTCTCTCTCTCAAATAAATAAATACTTAAAATTAAAAAAAATATTTTTCTTTTATTTTTTAAGATTTTATTTATTTATTTATTTATTTATTTATTTATTTATTTATTTGAGAGAGAGAGAGAGAGAGAGAGCATTAGAGCACAAGTAAGGGGGTGAAGGCAGAGGCAGAGGGACAGGCTCCCCACTGAGCAGGGAGGCCCTACCTGGGGCTTAGTTCCAAGACCCTGAGATCATGACCTGAGCCAAAGGCAGTCACTTAACCAACTAAGCCACCCAGACACCCCAATAATCTTTTTATAGGTAGGTGAGGGAATTGGGACTCAGAGAGGTTAGTCAGTTTGTCAAATCTAGCCCAGGTAATTAGAGGAGGTACCAAAATTCAAAGTAAAATGTGGCTGATTTTAATGTCAAATTGTTGGTTTAATTCTAGCATAACCCCAGTGGATTCCTTATGCCCTGCCCACTTATGCCACATACCACCCTTGAAATCTGTCCTCAAAGGAGACTATTGCAGACATTCTGAATATTTTGAAACAACAATTCCATTCCTTATTTTATTAGCATCAACAGTTCTTTTAAATAATAATCTTCCAGAGCGACAGTGTTTTCTCGCAGACATATGTCAGTTCTCTTAAGTTCCTTCATCTTTTATTGTACTGGCCACATTTAGAAGAGGTATTTTTGTGATATACATATGGAATAACATATTTTTAAGGGATATTTCAGTAGTTCAAATGCATTTTTATTTTCAGAAAGTATCCCCTTTTTTATTGAGATATAATTGACCTACAGCATTATATTAGTTTCAGGTGTACAACATGATGATTCAATATTTGTATATACTGCAAAACGATTACCACTATAAGATTGGTTAACATCTGTCAACATACACAACTACAGAATTCTTTCTTTTGTGATGAGAACTTTTAAGATTTACTGTCTTGGCAATTTTCAAATATGCAATATAGTATTACTAACTATAGTCTCCTTATTGTACCTTGCATCCCCATGACTTGTTTATTTTGTAATTGGAAAGCTATACATTTTTACTTCTTCCTCTCATTGTTCCCATCCTCTACCTCCTCCCTCTGGTGACCACTAGTCTATTCTCTGCATCTATGAGCTAGGTTTTTCCTTTTTCTTTTTCTTTAAAATTCCATACATAAATGAATTTATACATTCTTTGTCTTTCTCTGTCTGACTT